CTTATCAAATTACATTTTCCTCATCATTATACGTGGGTCCACACAACTTATAAGCGGTGTACTACCTCTAATTTGAGGTTTGGGAACAACGGAACACCGTTTTTGTACCCATATGACCAATAATTGACAAAATTTAAGTGGTTATTATATATATTTCTTCTTGATTTATTATTATAAGTTATTTATTTGATTTTTGTTCAAAACTTTGTACATTTTTTTAGTGAACGGAATTTAAATGATGTAAAACTTATATATTTTCTTAAAAAAAACGAATGAAACCCAAAAAGAGATTAAAAAAAAACGTGATTTTACATTCCTTTTCTGCACATTATTAAAACAATGCAGACGTGCAAAAGTGAGTACATTAGGATTGATTTCGTTTTCTTTATTTTTTCTTAGTTATTTTTAAGATTTAGATTTTTAAATTTAGGTTGTTTTGTTAAGTACAAAATACCCAATAAAATGCAACCAACATTTTTGAATTGGCTTTTTTAGTTGTATTTTTATGACGCAAAAGGTGTCCAAAATGCAAACATGTACTCGTTTCTGCTCGCCACTGTACATACACACGCCACTAACGAATTTCTAGCAAATCTTTTCTTTCTTTAAAGTGAAATATCTCTTAAATACCAAAATATCCATACGCATAACAATATATGAGTGTATGTTGGTATTTACGAGTATTAGAAGAAGAAATATGCCCCAAATGAATAAGAATGCTAGAACGACCTCGTGTGTAGATAAACTAATATTGTGTTTAGCTCGAACACCATTGTACATGTTTTGTACTTGAGTCCAAAAGTTCTTTTTTTTCGGACAACATGTCGAAATATGCACAAGTGCAATATGAAAAGTTGCTCACACACACACGCAATATAGCCACTCCCTTAGAAACTAGATTTATGTGGTGGTACATGCCTACTATACCGAAAACACATTTATACATACCCTGATGATAACAACATGAATGAATGGGTTTTAATTGTTTGCATGTCAGGCATCAGGATACAAATTTCACAGAGTCCTAAATGGGAAAAATAAGCGAATTGGATCAACAATAACAAAAAAATGGCCAAAGAATCGAAAGGATACAGATGCAACATCAACAACAACACAATATGATATAATGTACTATTAGTTTGTGTGGTTGTCCTAGATTTTCAAACGACATTGACTTGACAACTTTGTTCCGGACTTCTTTTGTAATTCGAAACATTATGTCCATAGAGATTTAGCTTTTATGTAGGCATTCAATAAATAAAGAAACAAATATTGCAATCATCTAATCTAGTTCGATATGGGGGGATTTTGAAAACTTATTTTTAGAAATTTATAATGCAGTGTGAAATGAACACAAATTAATGCCATTTCTAATATAGACAAATTTCCTTTTTTTTTTCTTAAGAAAAATAAAAATATGCAAGTGAGTATATTTTACAGCTGGTATAACAGTTAGCAACACATTTTTTGTTTAATTTTAAAAGAAATCATATAATGTGATCATTTGCAATTTAGAATATTAACACTATATTTACGGATGTTGAGTATATATGTACCTACCTTTACTAAAATTTACCAGTTTGACTCAAACGAGAAAATTAGAGTTTTTTTTATAAAGAAATCTGTTCCAATTTAATTTAAGGGAACCCCCCCATTCTCGATTTTAATTTTTCAAGATTTTCAATGGGCTGGTAAATCAATACCAATGCTTGTTAAGGTTTGCAACATTGCATATATATATATTTGAAGATTTAAAAAGGAAGAAAAATAATTTACAAAAAATTTGTGTTGTTTTTTTGTGACCAAAGAAAAGTCCTCATTTTTGATGGCGGGCATGATAACTCCTCACTGGAACATCGGAATCCGAAAATTCCAACGGTGTTAGAAAGAGTACATGTCTGACTCTCGTATGAACTAGGATTATTGACTTCGCTCTAAAATTAACAAAATCACGGGCCTTTGAAAAAATATTTTTGGAAAATCGCCGATTTTTTACAAAAACCAAGTTTAAAAATAAGGAAAATCTTCACCGATTGGCTTTATCCTAGTTCATACGATAGCTATACAGTCACAGAGAAACGTGTAAAAATTTGAAATCGATTGGGTTATTAGTTTTTGAGTTATCGTGCCCGCCATTCGCAAAAAATGTTTAGAGAAAAACGCGTTTAAAGTTTGAGAAGCCCTTCAGCCGTCACTTGATGCTGATAAATCGGCTATATCTTCAAGAGTTCTTGAGATTTTAACTTGAAATTTTGTAGGAACATTATTAGTGTAGATTGGAATTAAGTCAACAAAAATTTTGACCCCGAGAAGGGGGGGGGGGGCTGGTCCCCTTAAGATAAATATTCATGATCAGACATTTGTATATAAATGCCAGTATGAAATAATTCTCTTTAATGCAAACTTTACTCATTGTAATATTTCTCATACTTTATTCCTTCTTAGGTAAACTCTCTTTTAACCCGAAAATGGGATTTATAGGTGCATTCCTTGTAGAACCTCCCCGTAAATGTGTAAATCTTATACGAAGCTAATTTAATATTCAATATGGGTCATATTTAAAAACATTGCACAAAGTAATATTTTTAGCAAATCTAAATCATATACGAAAATGTGTCCACGGTCGAAATCGGTCCACTCTTTCTGTCAACTAACTAAAGGGTTTAAAACATTTTAAATCTACATCGTTTTTGAAAAGGCCATATGGGTCCATTTCCTGAAGTGCATTCTTCGGCATTTTTTATAGCTTCCAGCATATTGTCCACATAAATTTGGCATTCCGTTTTCAACACATCGAAATATTCCTCGGACACGCCATAAGGTATATATGGGCAGAATTGCAAATTTTTTAACATAGCTGAAACCGATTCACCCCTTTATAAATCGGGAATTACTTAAGTATATGAAAAAAGTGAATAGTTTTGGGTGGGTCATTGCAAAATTTTCATGATATTGACCTCCAAACTTTTTTTATGTTCTATATCGATTTGCGACTAAGCCACTCATATCTTCGTGTCAAAGTAAAACTAGGAGACTACAAAACGAGGACTACGTCTCTTATGTATCATTTTTCACAATTTTATCTGCATCTACCTGACATTTTGAAGCTCGATTTTAAGTGTTTTTTGAATTTCACTTCTAGATTCAATGTGTAATAACAAATTTCCGAAAATCGATTACATGATTATTGTAGTCGCTGAGTTATTTGTTATATATTTTGTGTATGTAGTATGCACAGCTTCAGAGTAATACTCATCCAAAAGTGAAAAATTTGTCTAAAATAATATCTAAAAACCTATTATTCGGGCCAAAATTTTAGATCTGTCAATTGAATGATAAGGTTACCCGCAATCAGTAAAGTTTTTTTTTTACGTTTCGGAAGAAATTAAATCTTCTTCGTGAACATCCATCTGCAGGCACAACAGGAACTGGCCTTCCAAAAACACGAAATTTGGGAAGAAATGTTTTAGAAAATATCACGGATTCAATTGCATTTTCTGTCGATTTTTAAGTTTTGTAAAACAGAACTTTAAAAACTTCAGCCGAAAGAGAGATGTACCCAATTTATCTCAAAAATAGTATGAGCTGGGTCATCATGGTTCTTAATGGACCGCATGGAAATAGGTATAGATAGTTGTATATTTTTAGGTTGCACACAGAAATCGGGTGCGCGTTTGTGGCATACGGGGTTTTCGGAAATTATTCGCGTTTTACGAGTTTTTGGGTACTTCAATGCAACGTCTGGCACATCTTAGCCGTAAAATGAAATTTCGCAAAATATAAATGGTTTGGAAGATGAACTTCCTCGAAACCGCATGCGCATCAAATGATTTTGAGGATTACGCGATTTAGACGCGTAATCCTCAAAACTTGTAAAAATTTGGAGTCGTTTGTATTTATAGTATTTGAGTTGTGGTGCCTGCCAATCTTAGAAACACTGTTTGCCGTCCCTTGATGCTGACACAATAAATCGGCTATATCTTCAAGGTGAAATTTTCTTTAGCATTTGTGGTTATAAGTGTTTTTCGGGTCAATTTAAATCCGTCTTAAATGCCTGAATCCTATTTTTATCATGATCAACTCTTATCATATTTCCAAAAAGTGGCAATGTGTTATAATATATTTCTCATATGCAAAAATTATTGTTCTGTATTTCTGCGCAAAATTTCCAAATCAATTGTTTACAAAATTATATTTTATAAAAAAGTTTTCTGACATGCACTTTCATAAATATTCGCAATGTTGGTACATTAGGATACTTCAGAAGAAAATAATTCTTTGACTGAGAAACATGTCTGGATAATGAGCCACTAACTGAGATGACATAAACAACATAATCAACGAAAATGTTCTCAATTAAAAGCGGCGTGAAAAAACAAAACTGTCTGTTTCATATTTTTTATTTGTCTGATTTTTTTCTTCTTTTCGTTTTAGGTGTTAATTCATGTTTTCCGTTCATTATTCCCAAAGAAACGACGACAGCAACAGCAAAGAAGAAGTATCCTCAACTCAAATGCAATCATCTCATCCGTCAGTGTTGGTGTCCAAAGAAAGCTACTCATGAATAAAACATTCGTTTCTTAACTGGAACGACCCACAAGTACATGAAGCTGGCCAGGGCAGCACGAAAGCGAGTCTGTAGCGAAGAGAGCAGTGGCAAGTAACAGAAACAAGCAATAAACATTTCATACACGCCAAAGTAATTAAAAGGCAACTTTAACCCAATTTGCCTGCAATACGGCCGTAACAACTGCAAAAACAACAATACCTACAACAGCAACAACAACAACAACAACAACGATAGCAGCAACAAGAACTTAAAAACTGCAGCTACTCTATAACCAAGAGGGAAAACTCGACAACGACAAGAACAATATCATCAGGAGCAGTATCAACGGCTAGGCGAACAATAAATTATCGTGGTGAAACGGGAAGAGACAACGAACGTTCTTGTACAAGACAAAGGGCGCAGAGAGGCAAAGAGCGCGAGGCGACAGAGAAAAGCGTTTGGGACAGCCTCTGGTGGCCAAAGTGCATGGAATTTTCATGTGATTTAAGAAGTGTGAACGCGGGCCGAAGCCGAAGATAACAAAATGCAGAAGGAAAACAATACAACAGTGGAGAATTGCCAATATGTGGGGCCATATCGTCTGGAAAAAACGCTCGGCAAAGGACAGACTGGTATGTAGACCAATAAAAGTTTATGCACAAATTCAAGAGACCCACATACACTCGCACACACACTGTCATTTTATATACATATATATTTAGATCGTTCTTGTAGGGCGCGCGCGTGTGTGTGTGTGTAGATGTGAATTATCATTCATTAACATGAAAATTTTTGTTGAAGGGATATTAGCGTTCTTTACTCAAGGCATCAAAAGTGGTAATATCATACAATATTATTACATTATGTAATATTCTACAAGTTCATTTAGACCAGTCAAATGTCGAAAGCTTCATTAAGTAGATAATATAGATTATATAATACAAATGAGAAATTAGATTAAACTACATATTTTGTTGTAATATAATATTAACTCATAAAAGTTACTATGCACAGATTATATATTTCCTTTCTGAGATTTAAAAGTCAGACGCAAATAGAGACAATTATAATGTTTTAATTGAATATGTTAAGGAGTTAAATTGCAAAAAACCCGAGAAAATTATGTTTTTATAGCCCAATGTGGGTTTGTCGATTCAGATTTATATGCAATGTGTTCACCAAAGACCCTGTATTTGTTAGATTTATAGATATAGCTCCGATTTCCTGTAAACGGTACACCGAACTCCTAAAGTTTGTCCGATTAAGCAAAAATCTCCCCATTGAGCTATACTAGGTTTTCGTTTCCAAATGAACATAGATTGGACCGAATGGAATTTCGTTGAATTCAAATGGGTAAGATTTAAATGTAGCTCACATATATTTTTTCATCTGATATCAAGTGAATCGTGCAGTCTTTACTCAAATATCGTCTTCATTCAATTATTATGTTTCTTCAAACTAAATCTCTTGAGTACAGCAAATCTAAGGGTTTAAAAATAAAACAAGTTAAAAGGGCGTTATGTTCGGTCGGGCCGAACTTTCTATACCCTCCACCATACGTATACTGACAGTTACTTGAAATCAAAGTTCCAACCCCCGTAGATTTATACTTTAGCGAATGACCTGGGAAGTGTGGTTAAAACTAATATTAAATATTACAAATAAGCGAACCAATGATATATTATTAACTACTGACGACCAAATATATTAATTAATATAAAATTCCTAAAATTTTCATCATGGAGTATTGACATTTATTAGCAAACACTCTTCCCACCCCACGAGGAACTATGTTATACTGTCGAGACTGCCGAATATACCGAAAAATACGTGAGAAAAAAATGATTGAAATTCTCAAAATATGTAATATTGGAGCTTTTTGGTAGTGAGTTTTGAAGCCAATGAGAATATGAAAATATCAAACTACTATTAAAAAATTCTCAAAATACCGAGTTGAGAATACCGCTATGAGAACCCAAAATACTAAATTACAGTCAATTTGATTAGTATGAAAATGTACTGTACAATCAACAGATGAAATCACGATAGATCAACATAGCATTTTATTTTGATCAAGAATATATGTACTTTGTGGGTGATTATTTCGAGGTGTGTGTATGGGGACTACCCCTAAAAGGGGCTGCATATTAATAAAATTTGGGAGATGTTACCATATACGACAACAAAATACCAAATTACAACGAATTTGGTCAAAAACGAGCCTAAAACCTTGACTATTATGCTAAGATAATACAAATTATATATTTTATTCCTAGAAAGTGTATGGTATTAACTATTTATTTGTCAGTTCGCAAAGCAAATCTAGGATTGGAAAAAATAATTTTTTATCTGTAAAAACGCTTTTAAGAGCAATATCTTAGCAAATTTTCAAAAACATTACCATCGAAAACATAATTGATCAATATATTTATCACTTATAGACTACACTGTGTTACAGGTTTTTATAGTTTGTGAATATACTTGTGGTCAATTTTGAGGATATGCACTATTATCCAGAGAACAAAAAATAAACATTTAAGGTCTAAATATCGTTAATTTATGTATTACGGGCATACAAAATTACAAGCTCAAAATACCGAATAATGGATGGTACGTGCATATGGAATCATTTCCGGAATTAGGACAACTTTGATAGATTTGGTATGAAGATTTTCAACCATAACGAACTAGTAGGGAATAACCAAATTATATCGTTATATAGGAAGGACTTTATACCTAGGGTAAAACAAAACAACAACGATTGTAGTTATCCTACTTCATACGATGCTATATATGTACAGAATTGTTATATATGTACAGAATTGTTATATACGTACAGAATAAGGTGTAAAAATTTGGAACGGATTATTTGTTTTTGACTTATCCTGCCCGCCATTTGTTAAAAAAGATGTTTCCATAAAAGGCGTTTGACGTTTGAGAAGCCATTCCTGCCGTTACTTTTTTTTGCGTACTTAAACTGCTTCTTTTTTCTTTGAATAACCTGACATTTCAGATGACTTCTTATGAAGGATGCCAGCGTTCGCATAAAATTGAACTTGTGTGACTATTGTCATTGTTAATTATTAAGTATTCTTGTATTTCCAAGTTTGCTATAACCAAATTAAAATAAACAAGTAAAAACGTCGTCGGATGATTGTCTAAGAAAGAGTTCTTTAAATGGAGAACTTCAGAAAAAAAACATAAAAAACTGAAGACAGTTAATATTGACAGTTTGGTCAAATAGTTGCACATATTACCACAGCACATTTGTAAAATGTAAATGGCCTTCTAATTTGTTGTTATCTTGTTGTTATATTTTCAAATATTCAAAATTTAAGGCAAAGACAAAATTTGGAAATAAAATTTTAATAGAGAAGATACAGTTGTAGAATATAGCCCACACACCAGATGATATGCCATCGATAAGCCCATTTATTGTCAGAGAAGAACGATCTCCAAACTCTAAGCAAGAAGAAGGAGAAAGCAAAATACTTTGTCAAACCCGCAAATCCTCGGCCAATAGGTCGGTAGGGGGTTTTTATTTAATGAGAATACAAAATATAAAATTACAGCTAATTTGGTTGAAGCACATGCCAAGCTCCTGAAAATACCGAAATTTGAAACGTAGCGTTATATGGAAGATTCCATAAGAAATGGACCAATATTGATCATTTTTAATAGGAAGATTTTACACCCCATGAGAACCTGAAAAATCAAGGTAGTGCCAATTCGGTTAAAAAAACGTGTTAAAAACCCTAGAATTACCGAACCTTTAATTACCAACCATCCTAAGAGTAATAGCAATGTCAGTGCAAAATTTCAACATATAGACTTATATGCATAAGTCGACATAGGATTTTATTCTGATCTGAAATTTAATACACTCCAACTTATGGTGGGACTAAATAACTAGATCGTTCACCAACGTACACAGGATTTCATCTCATTTATAACGAATCGATGTTCGTTATAAACGTACGCGACTGTACAATACAATTAAGTGTAGTATAACACATTTTAGGGCGTACCAATATACCATCACTCGAATCTGATTTGAACATTTATAGTAATTAAGTAATAATTTAGTAAATGATGAACTCAAAACAATTTAAACTTAAATTTTCGAAATGTAAAAAAGACACAATTTTCTAAATGAATATACAGATATTTTTACAATTTAATTTGGAAAACTTCGACATTTTATTTTAGACCGTATCACTATTGGCCAGGATTTCCAATTTTTGGCCATAATTAGAGCAGTGGTTCGTTCTTTCGCAAACATTTGTTGCTGAAGAACATTCTTTGAAAAACTCGAAAAGGAATTGTTCGCGAATGCTCCCGAGCACTGTTAAAAACAACAACAAACAAAAATATCATAAACCAGTAAGGAAAGTAGTATAGTCGGACGGGGCCGACTATATGACTATATATATACCCTTCACCACTTTGGGTATATTCAACAGATGAATCCTAACAGACGTCGCAGTAAAATGAAATTGGATCCATAAACATGTCATTCTGCAAGCGATACTAAATTTTTCATTTGGTCAGATATAGAAACTATATCTAAATCTGAACCGATTTCAGGAAACTTAACACATTATTCTAGACCTAATTCATTACGCTGTGTCAAATTTCGTGCAAACCGAAAAATATTAATATTAATCGGGGAGCTATATCTAAAACTGAACAGATTTTCACGAAACTTAACACACATCATTCTAAACCTAATTCATTACGCTGTGCCAAATTTCGAGCAAATCGAGAGATATATAGGGACTTTGGTGCACCATTTACATTTAATAGGACGAAAATATCTATGAGCTCTATATCTAAATCTGGACCGATTTTCAGGAAACTTAACACACATCATTCTAGGCCTAATTCATTCCGCTGTGCAAATCGAGAGATATATAGGGACTTTGGTGCACCATTTACATTAAATCGGACGAAAATATATCGAGCAATATCCGCCAAAAAACGTAACTTTCAAATTTTAAATTTTACAGGAGAAGGTTTGTTTTAATAAACTATAGTTTTGTTGTTTTAATGAACTATAGTTTTGTTATAAACTAGTTTTGTTTTAAGGGGACCCCCCCATTCTCGGTGTCAAAAATTTTTTTGATTTAATTCGAATCTACTCTAATTCTAGAATGTCTACAAAATTTCAAGTGAAAATCTCAAGAACTCTTAAAGATATAGCCGATTTATTGTGTTAGCATCAAGTGACGGCTAAAGGGCTTCTCAAACTTTAAACGCGTTTTTCTCAAAACGAATGGCGGGCACGATAACTCAAAAACTAATAATCCAATCGGTTTCAAATTTTGACACGTTTCTCTGGGAGTGTGTAGCTCTCGTATGAACTAGGATAAAGCCAATCGGTGAAGATCTTCCTTATTTTTTAACTTAGTTTGTGGTAAAAAATAGGCGATTTTCCATAAAAATTTTTTCAAAGTTCCGCCATTTTGTTAATTGTTGTGTGAAGTCAATAATCCTAGTTCATACGAGAGCCAGACATGTACTCTTTCTAAAACAGTTGGAATTTTCGGATTCCGATGTTCCAGTGAGGAGTTATCATGCCCGCCATCGAAAATATGTACTTTTCTTTGAACCCAAAAAACAACAACAAAACAACAACAACAAATTTTGGTAAATTATTTTTCTTCCTTTTTAAATCTTCAAATACATATGTGCCAAGTTACAAACCTTAACAAGCATTGGTATTCATTTACCAGCCCATTTAAAATCTTAAAAATAAAAAATCGGGAATGGGGGGGGGGGTTCCCTTAAACTATAATTCTAAATTGCAAAATAATAGCGTTATTAAATCTGAATTTATTAAAACAAACTTTCTCCTGTAAAATTTGAGGGTTACGTTTTTTGGCGAATATGGCTCGATATATGGGAGCTATATCTAAATCTGAACCGATTTTTCTCAATTTTAATAGGGTTCGTCCTTAGGCCTAATAAGTGACCTATGCCAAATTTCATCCAAATCGAATCATAAATGCGACCCTTACTTTGTTCACAAAAATAAATGGACGGACGGACATGCGTAAATCGACTCAGAAAGTGATTGTATGCATATTCTCAAAAAGATTCATGTGTCTATCTCGATTCCTTTTGCCTGTTACAAACATATGCACAAAGACATAATACCGTCTACCACAGTGTGGTGAAGGGTATAAAAAGTAAACACACACGAAACGAATGAATGTGTATGTAGTAGAAAGTGTGTGGAATAACAAAGCACATGTCCAACAACTATTGAGTTCACGACCGTTTGTTGTTGCTGGTTTGAGCATTCGCGAGAATTTGGGAATGTTTGTTTTCATTCATGAGAGAATGTCAGAAAGAATTTCAACCAGGGTGCGAAGAATGATTAAAATACGCAAATACAAGCATTTGGATTCTCTCGCGAATGTTCGCATTGTACGAAAAATTCACGAACGATAAAATTTCGCTGCATACGTCGATTCATTCTTTCGCGAGCATTTGTTGCTGAAGAATATTCTTTTGAAAAACTCAAAAAACAAATGTTCGCGAATTCTCGCGAGCACTGTGAAAAACAACAACAAACAAAAATATCATAAAAACACACACAAACAACGAAAGCATGTGTGTGTAGCAGAAAGTGTGTAGAATAACAAAACACATGTCCAACAACTATTGAGCTCACGAACGTTTGTTGTTGTTGTTGCCGTTTTGAGCATTCGCGAGAATTCTGGAATGTTTGTTTTAATTCGTGAGAGAATGTCAGAAAGAATTTCAACCACCAAACGAAATGAACGGACGTTGTTGTGCGCTCTCCCTCGTTTGTTATCTGTGTGCGAACATTCTTTGACGAATGTTCGTTTGGTAAAGAATTTATCGCCATAAATTCATTCTTAGAATGAGCACAAGACAAAAATAATGTATTTTAATTCACTCGCGAGCGAATTTTTTCGCACCCTGATTTCAACCACGAAACGAACGATCGTTGTTGTGTGCTCTTACTCGTTTGTTATGTGTGTGCGAACATTCTTTGGCGAATGTTCGTTTGGTAAAGAATTTATCGCCATAAATTCATTCTTAAAATGAGCATAAAACGAAAAAAATGTATTTTAAATTATTCGCGACTTAATTTTTCGCACCTTGATTTCAACCACCAAACGAAACGAACGCTCGTTGTTGTGTGCTCTCACTCGTTTGTTATGTGTGTGCGAACATTCTTTGGCGAATGCTCGTTTTGTAAAGAATTTATCGCCATAAATTCATTCTTAACATGAGCACAAAACGAAAAGAATGTATTTTAATTCATTCGCGAGCGAATTTTTGCGCACCCTGATTTTTAACGATGTGATTTCAACAGACGTAGGTATTACGATTCCGGAAATCGACGTACACACTATAAGTTTTGGCTGACAATTTGGTCCAAATTTTGTTCATGGTTGTTGAGAGTCCAAACCTTTACTTGCTTTATCTTTTTCACGGAAGAAGTGGAAAAATGTACGAATAACCGTAAATATACCTTTGCTTATAATTTCGTTCATTAACAAACATTTTCGGTAAGCTGTCTGATCGGTAGAAATAAATATGTTTCTAAAAATTTTATTATTATGGTAAACAATATATGTTTTAATTTTGCTGATTTATTGTCTTATTGTCTAATGATTTACACTAAGTCGATGTAATTACATGGGGCTACATATAAAACAAAATTTAACAAGTCGTTCGACTAGGATTTAAAATTTGTAATGCAACAAATGTGCAACCCACAGTTAATAATGTTTTTATAGGATAAAAATAGTCTAAATATTCTTACTTTTTTACAAAAAATACACCTCGTATAACATTCTAACATTCTTCTTTCATTTCTTCCAAATAGGTCTGGTCAAACTGGGCGTACACTGTGTGACCGGGAAAAAGGTGGCCATTAAAATTATCAATCGTGAAAAATTAAGTGAATCTGTGTTAATGAAGGTAAGTTTGTAAAGATAAAATAAAGGTCTGCCCAAAAACGTTTCTGAACACATAATTCAAACAATTTGCAATTTTGTTTTTTTTTTCACTTTTCTCAATGTCTTTCTTTTTTCGTTTCTTTTTGTTTTGTTAATCCTTGCGTGCAGAACTTTGATGCATACACGAGTATTTCTATGAGCACGCAATGTAATTTTTGTTTACCTTGTCCTCCATTGTCCTTCTTCAGTTTGAGGTAAAAAGTTCAGGTTTTCAATAATGGTTTTGCCATTGCTGCTATTCTCTTTGCGGTCGACTGTTTTTTGTTGTTGTTGAGTTGATATGTTTAATTGTTTGCATTTTAGTTAAATATTAACAAAGTTCTTAATTAGTTTTTGTTAAGTTAATATCAGATTGTAATTAATATTGTGGAAAGTATCGCATTATTCTTCCCATCGTATATACTGTGAGATTAAAAAGTGAATTACCATTTAATGTTTATTAAATGGTTAAATATTTTATAGCACGATTATTTATTTGGATTATTGGGGTAAATTTTTGTCATACGGTTTTAACGAACTTTCCTATAATGAACAGTTCTCCTTTTGTATTTTTTAAACAGCACACGTGTAAATTTCCAATTTTTCCAATCCAAATGAATTTAAATTCAATTCCAATCCAAATTTCAATGATCCATCAGCGCGACACCACAACCTATTGAAAAGTTCGGATGTAAATATTTTTTAATAATAATAGAGCACTATTACTTAAGTTTACTTACTTTAGAGTCTTTGTGTAGTCTCCGTGTCCTATCTGTGTATTATACGTGTATTGATTTATTTATAAACAATACCTATGGGTAAGTTAACTTCTTCAAATAATGAACTTAATAAATAACCTAGCAACTTGTCGTGGCAATACAAGTATGTGTGTGTGTGTTTTTTTTATTCTTTCGTTGTTCGATAATTATCAAGAAGCCATTGAACTATGCCTATTAAATATGGATACGTAAAAATTCTATTTTTAAATTTGATTCATTTTGATAGGAACTTGTTATACTCACTTTATTTATAAATAAAAGATAATTTTATTTAAATTATGACATTGGTATACAAAGACATGGTGTTATTTGCTATCGGAAGTTGCCTATATAAATTACTTTTATATAATATCAAAACGAGAACTACAGAGATATATAATTACGAAAATTACCGGGAAAAAATAACTGATTTTGAAAGAGGGGCCAATATAGAAGATAATGTATTGGCATTTTGATTATTTACGTCGTAAAAACACTAAAAATCAAGAAATCAGAATTCGAAAATCAAATAAAATGATTCCAAAATGATGGATTACATAAGATAAATATTTAATTTCTTAGCAGTATTAAAGATCAAAATTGCGTAAAATCGGTGGTCTATATATTACGGGTATACAACTATAGGATACATTAAATCCTAAATACAGTCAATTCGGTCGAAAAACGTGCTCAAATTCCCAAACATACCGAATAATGAGGGGTCAGATCATAAGGGGCCTACTCACGAAATTTAAGTCAATATTACCCATTTTTGGTAACAAGATTAAATATCCAATGAAAATCCAAAATACTAAATTACATGCAATTTGATTGAAAACGCGCACAAATATTTTTTTTTAAATTTTTAGTCACTTTGATGAGAAAATTCTGCCATAGACTTAATTATACCGCAAATGGGGTGGGTTCTGTATGTAGGGGGGAGAATATAAATAAAACAAGTGAAAAAGCGTTAAGTTCGGCCGGGCCGAACTTTGGATACCCTCCACCATAGATATACTGGCAGGTACTTGAAATGAAAATATAGGGAGCATACCAAACATGGACCTATGCCGACATTTCTATAAACCGATTATAAAATAATTTTTAATAGAAAATTATACCATCAGCCTTATGGCTAATTAGTGTGTATACACTTTCACACGGTGAAAATGTGCCTCATCGAAATATTGGTTCTAGACCCCATGTTTCTTTGGACCAAATCCGTTTCAGAAAAATTTGATTTCATCCCATCTTATTATGTTTTCCAAACTTAGTTCAATTTGGGGAATATCGGTGCATGCCTTCTGGCAACTCCCACACAGGGGCTACGGCTAAACCTTAATGCGGGCTATAGTTCACATATAGTTCATTATCGAACCGTACGTTCTAGTTTTTTATCTGGATATCCTTCGCAGGTGAAATGATTACAACAGAGTGTTAGAACCAAACCCAAAACGCGGAAAAATCAGATAATTATATTAATATAAAAAATGGGGTTATATGGGGACTACGCCTAAAAACGGGGTTGACTATTAATAATTGTTGGTCTTAAAATTTTACAAGAATATATACACTTTATAGGGTCGGAAATGAATATTTCGGTGAGTTACAAACGGAATGACAAAATTAATATACCCTACATACGCGGAAAAATCAGATAATTATATTAATATAAAAAATGGGGTTATATGGGGACTACGCCTAAAAGGAGTTGACTATTAATAATTGTTGGTAGGGAGATTTGTTTCCATGTACGGCTACAAAATCCCAAATTTCAGTGATTTCGGTTGAAAAACGCGCTCAAGAACCTCAAAATGCCAAAATTTGAGGGTACCTTTATATGGGGGCTACCAGAAAAAATAGACTTATATTTATAATTTTTAGTGGAGATATTTGGTACCAATAAGAACCCAATATACCAAATTTCAGTGAATTTGGTTGAAAAGCGCGCTCAAGAACCCCAAAATACCGAAATTTGTGGGTACCCTTATATGGGGGGCTACCAGAAAAAATGATATTCATAATTTTTTGTGGAGTGATTTGGAACCTATTAAGAACTCAATGTACTAAATTACAGCCAATTCGGTGGAAAAATACGACCAAAACCCCCAAAATTAGGAGGTACCGTTATATGGGGGCTACCAGAAAAAGTGAACCTATATATATATAATTTTTTGTGGAGACATTTAGTACCCAATAAGAACCCAAAGTACCAAATTTCAGAGAATTCGGTTAAAACGCGCTCAATAACCCCAAAATACCGAAAATTGGGGGGTACCCTTATATGGGAGCTATGCCTAAACGTGGACCGATATATGCCATCTTCGAACTTGACCTGCCTGCAGACAAAAGAGACGGACGGACATGGCTAGATCGTATTAGAATTTTACTCTGATCAAAAATATATATGCTTTATAGGGTCGGAAATGAATATTTCGGAGAGTTACAAACGGAATGACAAAATTAATATACCCTCCATACTATGGTGGAGGGTATAATAAAAACACAAGTGAATTAGTGATTTGTAATAATAAATGTTTGCTGGTTCATTGAATTGTCCTTTTTCAAATAACAAATTACCTTTATTACTACTAGATCAATTTTTACTGATTTGGAATATGAACGTAACGAATGTGATTCATATCGACAAAGAATGCAGGTGAATTTTTATTTTCCTTTTACCGCTAAGTTAAATAAATTTAACACTGCTTTTCGAAATCGGACTTGAAAGCTAAGGTTAGCATTTTTTCAGTTAGGAATTTGTTCACGTCGATTTATCTTTTATACTCTGCTCCCACAAAGCTGCATTTGGTTTAGGTAAACGCTACTGACAAATATAGATCAAAATTGTATCCCTATGATCTGTGACTACATCATTGACATACATTGCCGAAATTCAGCCGTTGATACCACGCTGTTGAATTTTCAAATTGGAACTAGATTCAGAATCCAAAACTGGAGGGTCGAAAAGGAGCTTGAGATGGTTATACACTAGAATACGTGTATTGTCATACGTATCCTTCAACGACTTCCAAGCCATAGAAAAACTTCTATAGGTGAGTGTAAACTTAGAGACGAGATCAAGTCCCGGAATGTGGGTCACGATAACAAATCTATCCTAGATTCAATTCCATACGTTATGCCAAATTTTGTGTCAATAGAACAAAAAGTGGGAGGTTGGTGCACGATTTACATAAAATCGGACGAAAATATATGTGGGAGTTATATCTTAATCTGCACCGATTTCAACCAATTTCAATAGGGTTCGTCCTTGCATCATAAATAGAACTATGGGTATATATCGTTTCCTTTTGTCTATTATAAACATATGTAAAAAGACATAATACCCTGTACCAAAGTACGGTAAAGGGCATTTATTATGCCTTCGAGTGTTTTTTTTTCCAATAAATGTCTTGGTCTATTTGATTTGACGCTTAATATTGACCAATCATTATCAAAACAGCCATGCATTTTGGTTGACTAGATTATTGGCGTTCGGATATAATGTTATGATGTCGCGCTTGATCATAACCGGAATTTTATTCAAAATTTCATGGCTATCAGCGCGACATTTCCGCCCTCTAGTGTGGTAATATTTGTAAATAGTTATGTATAGCGTCCACGTCAAAGTACATACGTCAATATTATTAGTATCAATTTAAAGATGACCCATGTCTCTAAGATGCACTGTCAACTTCAAAGGTCTATGTTCTTCTGGATTAAATATATACGGCGTAGAATGCAAATTTTGAAAATTTTCACACAAAAGTCTTAGCTCAGCTGAGCCATGAAGCGGATAAACTCTATTTTTATTCAAATTTTAATTACTATAGTATAAACACATACGTTTTATTGATCATTTGAATACTTATATGCAACACTTATTAAATATTTGAAATTAACGTTTTCTTATGTAAATAGTCTGTATATAGTACCAAAAACTGCATCTCTGATATTACTACATTTTCATACAACCAATACTATATTAGAATCTCGCTTCTCAAATGTAGTACTTTAGCAAACCCAAATTTCAATAAAATAGCTACAGGCCACTTAGCTTACTTTCAGCGTTCGGTAAGCTTTTTGAATATTTTGTACTCTCTGAAATTAGAGATATACTAAAAGAGAGAGAGAAATCCTATCTGATAGTCAATTCGGCTTCAGACAGGGTAATTCGACGTCACATACCCTGATGGTCTTAGGGGAATATGTGACTCGCGCTCCAAATAACAGACATATAACTATTGCTGTTAGTTTGGATTTTGCCAAAGCATTTGATAATGTATGGCAAAGCTCAATAATATATAAAATGAAAAGGGAATACTAATGATAGACTAAATGCATATTTGGAGCAACTCTCCGAATACTTCCATACTTGGAAAATACATTTAAATGTCGAAAAGTGTGAAGCAATAACCTTCAAAGGCAAGAAGAAATATTTATACCGCAGCGTCAGGCAGTATGAACCTACTCTTGCTATTGGAGGGCAAACAATAAGAAACTCCGACCAGATTAAATATCTGGGAGTTATCTTAAATAGTAAATTTGAGTTTGTTAGGCATATTGACTACCTTTTCAGGAAAGTCAAAGGAATATATTGGCTCTACCAGCGTGCTCTCAAAGCAGCTGGCGGGCTTTCCGTGAAAGTTAGGCTACTTATATACAAACAAATAATAAGGCCACTAATTGGGTACGCCTTCCCTGTTTGGTCTGGGATCTCTTCCTATCAAATGGAGAGGCTGCGCATTTGGGAGAGGCGAATCTTTAGGTCCTGCTTAGGCTTAAGGCCAGAACAAGGAGTAGATGGAATCTGGCGACTACCTGCCAATAAAGTTGTGTATTATTCCATCGACTTTCTAATGGCATCCGCTCTTAGGTTCCTAGACCGAGCGGCAACTCTAGAAAATAAGCTAGCTAGAGATAGCCTTCTGCACGAAACAGACGTCGAAAGGTTAATTCGGGCCAATTATAGGCTTCCGAGCAGTTTAGCCACTTTGAACGAAGAAGGTATTTTATATAAAGATGACCAGCTCCTCTTCTATCATCGTAGGTTTGGGACACTAGATATAGATAGTACCGTTTATAGCACATCGCAGTAGCGGGTAAAGCGTCCTTATCTGTTCTTGTATATATTGTAAATAAATCCCCCATGCCATACCCCTGTAAATATTCTTTACTTCTAATCCCATCCCTCTTAACCCTGTACATAAACCCCTAATTTAGATTTAATACATAGCTTTTAGTTCAGTAGTTTTTAAGTTAAAATATAAAAATTCGATAGGGGCTCCTTTTCTCTCATCATTTTTTTAGGAGATTATATAGTTATAAATTAATTATAGATAGATCGTAAGTGTATATAAGTTTAGAGTTAGTCTGCAGCAAAACTGGAGGACTTTATGTATTAATGAAGTAAACTTAGAAAAATAAGATTTAATGCTAAGTAGATCGTAAGAAATATTGTTAGTCAATAAGTTATCTAATAACTATGTTTAGTGTTTTGATGAAAATATAATTGAATTGAATCAATAAAATAGCTACACTCCGAGTCCGGACCACCCGTCTCTAATTCGTTTAGCGAACACTGAAGGCTTAAGATCATTACCCACGCTTGCCCAAGTTGATGGACTCAGATCATAAGCTGAAAGCAATTCCTAAACACGGAGTAAAAAGCTAATCTTGTAAATCTTGTTGTTTCGAGTTTCTTCAGCCGTTAAATATTGAACGATTTTCCAAACTGTCATGACTGATAAAGACATTATTCTCGTTAAGAATTCACTTTTGATTTATTATTAAAAAAATAAATAATTGAACATATATTTTTTGGGTTTTAAGAACATATTTTATTTAATTTCTTTATTTATATCTTAATTTAATTATAAAAATTAGGAAATATAAATCTCATTATACACTATAAGCATTATATTATTTTTTAGATGTTTTCTATGGCATATTAATAATAATTGTCTTCTTTCTTACAGGTTGAACGTGAAATAGCTATTATGAAATTAATTGATCATCCCCATGTACTGGGTCTAAGTGAAGTCTACGAAAATAAGAAATATTTATATCTAATATTAGAACACGTGTCCGGCGGTGAACTCTTTGATTATTTAGTTAAAAAGGGTCGATTAACACCGAAAGAAGCGCGTAAATTTTTCCGCCAAATTATATCAGCGCTAGATTTTTGTCATTCACATTCAATATGGTAAGCGGCAAAAGTTAAAATAAGCATTTATCGCTCTTTGATTATATGTTTCCTCTTCCCTAATCAGTCATAGAGATTTGAAACCAGAAAATTTACTACTGGACGAGAAAAATAATATTAAAATAGCAGATTTTGGTATGGCCTCACTACAGCCGGCCGGCTCAATGTTGGAAACATCATGTGGCTCACCACACTATGCCTGTCCCGAAGTTATAAGGGTATGTAAATAGCCTGTTGTGGTTGTCCTTGCACGCTTTGCTATATATGTTCGTGCGTGCGTGTGTGTGTGTGCATGTAGCAGTCATTGGTATTTGTGGCATTTTTGTGCCTTTTTTGTTCAACATTTTCGAGATGACCCCAATTCGAGTCAATATGAAATTATTACATTTTATGGTGGTTAATTGTGTCGTTGATGGCATACTTCAGCGAACGACAAGTTGACCACATCGCCACATTGCCACCACAAACAAACAAAAAGCGATTTGAGTTAAGTTGAAATGAGAATTGCAATAAAATGAAATATTCATTTCTTAATTTAAGGGTGAAAAATACGATGGCCGGAAAGCGGATGTGTGGTCATGCGGTGTTATTTTGTACGCACTTTTGGTGGGCGCACTACCCTTCGATGACGACAACTTGCGACAATTGTTGGAGAAAGTGAAGCGAGGTGTGTTCCACATACCACACTTTGTGCCACCCGATTGCCAGAGTCTATTGCGCGGCATGATAGAAGTAAATCCTGAACGGCGGCTGACGGTGAGTCATAGAAAGACAAAGAAACAAAAAAAATATTTATTGATATGAACAGAACAATTATTTGTTATAAACATCGACACACCCACACGGTGCAGTGACGACAAAATTTCTTTTTCTTTTTGAGAATTCAATCGGAAGTACACAAAGACAAGAAGACAAATAGAACAACGACAAACAAAAAGACAATAAAACAACAACAATACATGACTGATGAGTCAAATCTTGAGACAAATATATTTTTATGTACTTTCGCCCCTCCACCCTTCTACACACAACCCCAAAATCCCTACATATAACTGTTTGTGGGGCAGCAGGATATGATTGTTAAAATTATTTTGTTTTGCTGTTTACAGTTGGCGGAAATCAATCGACATCCTTGGGTAACGGCCGGTGGCAAGGGTGAACTGGAATTGGAATTACCTATGATGGAAGTTGTTCAGACACATGTAATACCATCTGCTTCGGCTGTGGATCCTGATGTTTTAAATGCCATCTGTTCCTTGGGTTGTTTTAAGGAAAAGGATAAACTAATACAAGAGTTGCTGAGTACAACGTAAGTAGAATATGACAATTTATGATGTCTTCATCATAAAAATAAATATTATATTTGAATGCAGTTTGGGTTTAAATTAATTTGAAATGCGGCAACAGCTAGTTTAACTCAAATTTGGGTTTATAGTTTTGGGTGGTATGTAATAAAGTACCTACTGGGTATTTAATACGTAAATATTAAGATGTTTGCTTGCTGCTCTGTGGGAAAAGTGAATTTTGAAACAAGATTAAATTTTGAACAAGTATATGCGATAATTAAATGACGCAGCAAAAACATGAAGTATATATACAATTATTTGAAGCTTTCTATTACATTAAACAGATTTATTTAACTATAATCTAAAACAGATTCCCCATAAACAAATTTTAGCCCGGAATCTTGAATTATACTGGATTTAAGAAAATATTACTAAACTTGTAAAATTAGGTATACCGTTGTTTCAACGTTGATACAATCCGAACAGAAGCCGCCATACTCCAGTACCCTCGCTCAATTAAAATAAGATCGTATGGAATCGTGACAGTCAATATGTTGTTGGACCATAGGGCTAAATAAAGAAGATTTCTAAATTCATTTCTTTCTGAAAAATAAACTGTAATACCTTCTTCATTAATAAAAAATTCTTTGATTCTGTTATCTGAAGATTGGCTGAATTAGTAGAACAAAAAGATATTTCCATTAACGAATATGGAAATTACAAATACTTTAATAAAAACCATACAAAATTTAAAGTTCTGCCGAAAAATACTGTTTTGTCGCCATCATTATGGAATAGCTAGGAATATTTAAAACTACTTTAGTTTTTAGAAACCTAGCGATTGTTGAAAATATGATCACTCTAGTCTCTAAAAGAATTGAGATAGATCGCCAAAAATTAGCATAGAGTTGTATTTTGTCTGCAGGATGGTAACGTTCTGAGGTGGGCTATATCGATCCACGTTTAGGCATAGCTCTCATATAAGTGTACCCCCCAATTTTCTGTATTTTGGGGTTCATAAGCGCGTTCTTGGTTGTGTCCCTATATATCCGTATTCCACCATATAATTTACTCGGTGGTATGGCCATATGTTGCAATCATTCTTCGGAGGATATCGAGATAAGAAATTAGAAAGTCAGGTTTGAGAATCGTATTTTCGGTGTTTTTAGTATTTAACGTGAAGGAAGGTATTGTGATGCAAAAATGTTAGGCATAGCATATCATAATAATTTCAAATGTATGGACGTAGGTATACAACAATTTTTTTCTGCAGTGAAAATGTTCATATTGAACCCCACCCCTGAAATGAAATCCTGTTTATACACATTTCCTCCCTGCAACACATTATAAATGTCGGTCCAACTTTTGAGTTTTGAGATTTTAGGAAAAAATCATCCAAGTGCAGCTATGTACAAGGCAGCTAAGTTAAAACTACTGTATGCGATATGGTTTATTGCAACCCTAGCGTTTACAATGGCAATGCGAATACATAGTCACCCATGGACATTTTGTCGACAACTGAAAAAGCTAGCCAAAGTGGTTTACGCAGATGGAGAAAAAGATTGCCATATACAAAAATGTGTTGCGGATCGGAAAAATTTTAAACCAAGATTTTATGAGCCCTGTTCAAAGGTGCCCACGTTGAAAGGTGCCCACCTCTCCCCTATTATTCATGTAAAAATTTAAATTTATGTTCATTTTTATACCCTTCACCACACTGTGGTATAGGGTATTATGTCGTTGTGCATATGTTTGTAACAGGCAAAAGGAATCGAGATAGACCCATGGTTCCTTTGGAGAATATGCATAGAATCACTTTCTAAGTCGATTTATGCATGTCCGTCCGTCTGTCTGTCCATGTTAAATTGTAAACAAAGTACAGGTCGCATTTATGATCCAAATTGGATGAAATTTGGCATAGGCCACTTATTGGGCGCAAGGACGAACCCTATTGAAATTGGGAAAAATCGGTTCAGATTTAGATATAACTCCTATATATATATTTAACCGATTTAATGTAAACGATCACTATATATCTTTCGATTTGCACGAAATTTGGTACAGCCTAATCATTTAGGTCTAGAATGATGTCTGCCAAGTTTCGTGAAAATCGGTCCAGATCTAGATATACCTCCCATATATAGTTTCGTCCGATTTCAAGTAAATTGGGCATCAAACTCCTCATGTTAGTCAGATTGACAACCAATTTTGCACAACCTACAAAATGGAGCATAGAATTACGTAGATGCGTTTTCTAGAAGTACAGACGTAGCCCAACGGATGAACTATTTATATTTGTTTGAAGTCGATTTACATACTTTATGGATAGATCTAGGTAGATTCACATTTAGATAAATATCACATATATTATTTCATCCAATTTCATGTTAATAGTCCTGTTTAATATACCCATATTGGTGAAGGGTATCATATAGTCGGCCCCGTCCGACTTTACTGCTTTCCTTACTGGTTTTACATCTGTCAGTTGCGTTTAACGAAATGCAATATTCTGAAATCTTTACAAGATCGGAAATAAAATCAGCTTTTACGATACTATTATTTACCTACTACGAATTTTTAACATATATATCCTTTCTAAAACAAAAATGTAACAACAAATTATTTTATTTTCAGTCACAACACAGAAAAGGTGATTTATTTTTTACTACTGGATCGTAAACGTAGACGTCCAGCATTAGAGGACGATGATGAAATTACTCAAAAGTCTCGCAGTGAATTGGATTCTGCCGATCCGCCCCGCAAACGTTTGGATACATGCCGCATCAATGGCACCAATTCCCCCAGCTATGGCCAAATTTCCGAAGGATCTCCACTGACGCCAAGAAGACAGGCATTCAAGTGAGTATCAGCATTGTGTGTGTCTGAATGTGTGAGTGTGCATTTCTATATCCAAAAGTGTTTAAACAATGGATTGTATCTAGTTATCGGTGTGAATGTGCGTGTGTGTGTTTGTGCATAATGCTAGTTAAAATTTAGTGTTTAGTGCCAATAACGATTATTTCACAAAAACCATAGCCCAGCATTCCAGTCTTTTAGTGATTGCTGTCTTAGTTGTTGCTGTTTGTTATTTTTGCACCGCAAAGGCCTTAACCCCGCCTGCAGGCATGCAAATAAATTATAGTCAACTTGTAGCATTGAATGTTGAATGCGTCAGGCTTTCCTTAGGCAAGGATATTCTTATTATAGCATCCTATCCCTTTTGATTTCTATCATTTTCCAGTCGTGCATTTAGTGTGAATGAATGTTTATGTGCAGTGGCATTTCTTTGAACTACCAAAGCTATTTAACGCCAGACATCTCTGGCATCAGATTCATGTTTAGCTTTTAGCAAATGCATGTGGCCGTGTGTGTTTATATGTGTGCGAGCGCTTGTGTGTGTTAAGAAAACATTGAGATTTAGTTTGTGTGTGTGGTAAATATCTTAGTTTATATGTTGGCTTGTATTCTCCATCATTATGTTAAAGTTCAGGGCAGTCGGCTAAGTTTAATGGCTGTGTGGCTTCATTGATTTAAAAATTATAGTTGAGATATTAATTTGATTAGGCCAATATACGATATATGAAATCATGAAATTGTGTACAAAACAACTTGGAATTTTAAATTTATTGAACACGGCATCAAAAGAATGGTATGGAATTTGTAAGGACAGATCGTAAGTGTGTCAAATATGTTATGGTTCGATACATCTGTTCACTGATAGTCTCCCAGTTTAAAATGTTGAAAAGTTTTACATAGGACACTCGATGTGCGGCCCAAAAAGTATAACACACAGAAGGTCGGCATAACCTAAGTGTGATGAAAACATGCCTATATCGATTTCTTGTTTTTGGTGGACATATCTAAAATCTTACGATTCAAAATAAAAAATAAGGATGAAAAACATGCACAAGGACTCGAGGTATAAGTAGGGTGTGTTTTACAAAAAATCTTCCTAATTTGATATGTCTCAAGACATGTGTTTTCAAATATAACCTACATTATTCACAAACAAATTATAAGGCTTTTTAGTCATGCAATTTAAGGTTACTAGCAAAAAATCCATACTAGCAATATCCATATAACCGTTTAAAAAAATTATTAAACTTGACGAATTTGTCCTTTTGGGTTCTTAATACACTCGACAAGGGCTTTCCTCTCGAATAGAACCTTTTTAAAAATGTTTATAACCTTTAAAAAAATATTAAAGTCTTCGGCATTATGAGGTTCAGTTACATTGAGTTGAATCCGAGTATTCATATTGGACAAGACACATACTCTAGTCTACAGAAAATATGTATAGTAGCCATCGTATAGCTACCTTTATACTTTGATATATTGAAATACATAGCTCTCTGAACATGGAACTTACATTGTTGAATATGAGACCAAATAATCTACCCAGACTTCTGGAAAAATATTTTAGTTTTTGGAATGCCATTTGATCGGTAGTTCTTAGGGAATGTCTATTTCCTAGCAGAGCATTGATTAACAGTAACACTTTAATTAAGTGTTCTACAAATTTTCTTTATTATATTTTTAATGTAAATACTCCTAGTTTCCATTGCAGACAATGCTTACGCTCAGATTTTAGCTTGAATACCATTTAAGTCTAATACACATATATCTGCTTTTTTTTGTATTTTCATGTCTCAACTCACACATACATATCTATTTAAATACAATTATCATATGTACATTTGCAACAACAACATCACGTCTATATACAACACAATCATTTGGTTAACTGAATGTTTATAAATGTACAATAAAATAAATATATCTATACAAATGAATGAATGCGCTGTCACCTGCTTTGCTCGGAAACATGCTCGACAACAACAACAAATACAACACCATCATCGACATTATCAATGAACACAAATTAATTAAATGAGCAATCAACCAACCAACCAAATCAATCATCATCTATGTAACTATGTCAATATATCACAAACTATACATTCAATACAATGCGCTTCATACAACGCCACATATCAATCCCGAATGTCATTAACAAACAGCTTCCGGTCCTACAGTAGCACACGCAACCATCAACGACGTTCGCCGACTTCGGTTTCCTCGATGCGTTCATCGTCATATCATAGTCCAACGAGATGCAATTCGCCCATTAATTCGGCCCAACAACAGGCCAATGTCTTGTCGAGACCCTCATCACCGGCCGCTTCATCAGGACATGCATCACGCCATTCTTCCTATGGTGATCGAGAACGATCAGCTTCGGTCCATCATCCACCCAGTGGACGATCGTCGTCGCATTCGTCACAGACATGTGTCGAGGGCCATAACAACAGTGGAAGTGGCGGTGGTGGTAGCGGCGGCGGCGGTAGTAGCAGCAGTAACACCAGTAACGATGTTGTGGCCCGGGAAATGCGAGAACGAAGGGAATCACGCAACGAACGTTCATCCACAGTGCAGACTAGTTGTGTGCCAGGAAGTCCTGGTGGTAATTCGGCTACCGTACATCAAAGGGCCAATTCGGGACCCACAATCGCCATCAGTATGTTCCACGACCCAGAAGCAAATAATGGTATGGATTTCTATTTATTAGCCCTAGCATGTGAAATTTGTCATTTTTCTTTTCCTTTAACTCCAATGTACAGTTATGAATCCTACAACATCGCCGCTAATGAACAATAGCACAGCTGCCATGCCAGGATCACCTTGTAATGCACCTGGCGGGCAATTGTGGAAAACTAGACTCACCAATATTAAGAACAGTTTCTTGGGCAGTCCAAGATTCCATCGTAGAAAACTTCAGGGTATTTATATGAAATATATAATTCGAATGAATAATTTTATTAATTTAAATTCCCCCTCGTCCTATATTTAGTTTCCGCAGATGAGGTACATTTAACACCGGAATCATCGCCCGAATTAACCAAACGTTCCTGGTTTGGTAATTTAATAACAACCGAAAAGGATGAGACCTTTACAATTTTAGTTAAGGGTAAACCCATTGCCACAGTCAAAGCCCATCTGATACATGCATTTCTTTCGGTAAGTATGTAAAAAAGTGATGTGAAAATGTGATCGAATGAAATCAGTTTAAAAATTGTAGTATTGATACGTTTTTCTTCCGAAGTGACATGACCGAGGTCCCTCGGCCTTGTCTAGTTAAAATTGTTTTTACTGCCGATTCAGACTTTCTGCGTAGTAAGAATGGTTCAGGATTGGTCCTTAGGAAATAAGAATTGTGGTATAAAATCCTTTTTGTGGGGTCATCTGTAATACATTCCCCATATGGTTAAATCATGTATTGAAGGTTATATGGCACCGTTGCCTTGCCGAGCTTGAATATAAAACTCAACTTTTACACCCTTCACCACACTGTGGGACAGGATATTATGTCTGTCTGTCCATGTTAAATTTATTAAACAAAGTACAAGTCGCATTTATTATCCCAATTAGATAAAATTTGGCATAGGTCACTTATTAGGCAAAGTGGAGGGTATATTAAATTTATTATTCCATTTACTACTCCTTGAAATAATCGCCAGAGATTCCATAAAGTATATACAATCCTGATAAGAATCTATGTCTATGCACAGACTTCTTTAGTGCTTCTAGGATGTTTGATATTGCATATGGGGCATGTTGATATTGTATATGGGGTCCATGTTTTGGTATAGCTCTCATATAACGGTTCTGCCCAATATTCTTGAAGAAACTGAGAGAGAAATTGTCGAAATTTGCGGATCTTTATTCGAATTAGCTGGAATTTATTATCTTGTGTTCTCATTATAAACATGAATATTGGTCCACTTTTTCGGGTAGGCCCCATATAATAATACCATATTTTCGGTTGGCTACATTTTGCAACCGAAATGGTTGTATTTTAAATATCGGTACAGCCTCCATATAACGGTACTCCCAAATATACGGATTTTGAGGATATTGGACAAATTTTTCGATGAAGTTGGCTATAATTTGGTATGTTGGGTGCGAATTGGGTACCAAATTAAAAATATTACTCCAATTTTTTTGGTGGCCCCATACAATTCATCCGAAATTTCTTTATTTTGGTGGTTTGACTGCAGTTTGGTATTTTGGATTCCTATTTGGTAACAAATCTCCATACTAAAAATTATATATATTCGCCTTTTTTTGGAAAATAGTTAACTGATTTGTTTCGCTGTATTCCAACATAGAATGGAGGATATTCTGAACTCGTAATTGCTTGCTTATATCCCACAAAGTGTGGTATTCTTTAATTATTTCCATTCGACTGTACATATGTTGGAATCATATTATCTTTATGGGGCATCGGGATGCAAAACTTAAAAGCCATGTTAGAAAATGTGCTATACCAATCTCCATTCATCCCAATTGTCGGTATTTTAAATGTTAAATGTTTAGTCGTTACCGAAATACAAATCTAAAAGCCACTACCAAACCAATGTGGTGTAAACTTTCGAAATTTGTCATCAATAAATGCTGAAACTTAGTTTAGTTGTATTTAATGTCTCCTATCTAAAGATCCCACTCATTTTTTATTACGGATCGGAGTTTTTGGGCGCGTGAAACTATAACTTTAATTTCAATTGTCAGTGTACCCAAAGTTCGGCCCGGTCATACTTAACCCTTTTTATTATGTCTTTGTGCATATATTTGTAACAGGCAAAAGGAACCGAGAAAGACACATGGTTCCTTTTGAGAATATGCGTAGAATCACTTTCTAAGTCGATTTATGCATGTCCGTCCGTCTGTTGGTGTTAAATTGTAAACAAAGTGCAGGTCGCATCTATAATTCGATTTGGATGAAATTTAGCTCAAGTCACTTATTTGACCCAAGGATGAACCCAATGGAAATTGGTGAAAATCGGTTCAGATTTAGATATAGTTCCCATATATATTTTCGTCCGATATAGGCCCAAAAGTCCCTATATATCTTTCGATATGCACGAAATTTGGCATAGCGTACCGAATTAGGCCCAGAATGCATATATTTGTAACAGGCAAAAGGAACCGAGAAAGACACATGGTTCCTTTTGAGAATATGCGTAGAATCACTTTCTAAGTCGATTTATGCATGTCCGTCCGTCTGTTGGTGTTAAATTGTAAACAAAGTGCAGGTCGCATCTATAATTCGATTTGGATGAAATTTAGCTCAAGTCACTTATTTGACCCAAGGATGAACCCAATGGAAATTGGTGAAAATCGGTTCAGATTTAGATATAGTTCCCATATATATTTTCGTCCGATATAGGCCCAAAAGTCCCTATATATCTTTCGATATGCACGAAATTTGGCATAGCGTACCGAATTAGGCCCAGAATGACTTGTGCCAAGTTTCGAGAAAATCGGTTCATATTTATATATAGCTCCCATATAAAGTTTCGTCCGATTTAAGGTAAATGGTGCACCAAAGTCCCTATATATCTTTCGATTTGCACGAAATTTCGCACAGAGTACTGAATTTAGTCTAGAATGGCGTGTGCCAAGAAAATCGGTTCATATTTAGATAAAGCTCCCATATAAAGTTTCGTCCGATTTAAGGTAAATGGTGCATCAAAGTGGCATAGATTACTGAATTAGGTCTAGAATGATGTGTGCCAAGTTTCGAGAAAATCGGTTCAGATTTAGATATAGCTCACATATATATTTTCGTCCGATTTTATGTAAATGGTGCACCATAGCCTCTATATTTCTTTCGATTTGCACGTTATTTGGTATAGCGCATTGAATTGAGTCTAGAATTACATATGCTAAGTTTCGTGAAAATCGGTTCAGATTTAGATATAGCTCCCATATATATATTTTCGTCCGATTTTATGTAAATAGTGCTCCAAAGTCCCTATTTTCGATTTTCACGAAATTTTGCATCACGTACTATATTAAGTCTAGAATGATATATATTTCGAACGGATGTCTGATTGAGGCTATATTTTTAACAGTGCGATATACTGAGCAGCGTGTGTCAAGTTTGCTATAAATCGATTTCCATAAATATGTCCCATTGTACACAAACGAGTCTAAATCTGCCCGATTGAAACTAAATTTAGCATAGGTTGCAGCAAAGTGTATGTCCCTTCGAGTGAACATTGACATGAAATTGTTAGGATACATATGTTCAACATACATAAAGTGGTGCAGGGTCCGACCAGTCCGACTTTACTACTTCCCTTAGTGGTTTCACTTGTTGCAATTGATATTATAATTTGTTTTTAACATTGTTCTATTTTCAGATGGCAGAATTATCACACAGTGTGGTTTCTCCTACATCATTCCGTGTGGAGTATAAACGAAACGGAAATGGTCCAGTCATGTTTCAAAGACATGTCAAATTTCAGGTAAGTGTCTTGTTCAAACTATGTGATGGAAAGAATGTATAGTAGTATCGATATAATTTATTGAGAATATTTTGTCGCTTTTATAATGGAATATTTATTTTGTGTGGTAACATCATGGAAACCTTTTTTAATAAACGTTTACACCTTCGGATTAAATACGTTATATATAACAAATTACCTATTATTCCAGGTCGATATTAGTGCAATTTGCAAACAAGGTGACGTGGCCGATATGTTATTTGCTTTAACATTTACACTGTTGTCAGGTATATTTGGAATTTGGTTGGTTAAAAAGGACTCTCAATAAATATATTACGTTTTCCCTTGTTTGTATTACCGCAGGAAATATACGACGATTCCGGCGTATTTGTGAACACATACAATCACAGGTGTGTTCGAAACGTTTCCCCGGACCCAATAGTCCACCATCGGTGACAACTGTCACGCAGGCTGTGTCAGAAAGTTCATCGTGCGGTTCGGTTTCCAGTGAGCGACTGTCATACAAACGTCAGGTATGTGCTACTCAGATTGTACAATGTGCGTTTTTATATTATTTTTATTCTATTCCCCCCATTGGATACTAGATTGAAAACGAAGTGGAAAATGACTCAATATTCACATACAAATCTGGCAGCAGTCGTCGTTCCTCAGCTACCAACAACAACAATGCCAATCCAATCGACATACCCGGAAGTCCTATAGCAGTGAGATCCAAGTAAGTGCCCAATAGCGAAATGACATCCCAAAGTAGTGTAGCCACAAAAATGTGAACAGAAACAATCTATTCTTTGCTAGCTCCGAATCGGCTGAACAGGAACGCACGCGCGAACTGCAGAGTGATCGTCAGGCGACAACAATGTCCGGGAGTGCAATAGCATGAGAATTATTTCTCTGATTTGGTTATACGTTTATGCAACCGATTTTATTTCAACTCCAAATCTCCAAAATTTTACCACTACTACTACAGCAACATCAAATATTTGAAAATAGCAGCCGCATGAGCAGCAGCCTTCGTCGCAAATCCCTATGTAGCAAAATCCAGAATACCTAAGAGGATTCCAAAACCAAAAAAAAACTCAGAATCAGAATAATTTATCGTAAAGTTAAAGTATTTAAAATCCTAACGTACGTATTATCTGAATTGTCCTTGAATTTTTCAATATATATATCATTCGAAGCGAAAACCAAAGAAACTGAAACAAAACAAATAAAGCAATAACAATGACATTTTATTCAATTTCCTTTGAACCTCAAAATGCAATATTAGCTATTTCAGATATTTCAAAGAAAACGAAAAAACACACACACACACACATAAAAATAATCAACACCCAGAAAAAACTCTATGCATTTAGAAGAAAACAAAAATTGTTAAAGAAAATTGACGAAGAAGTTTGACAAAAACATTTTTTATATTAAAAAAAAGTTCTGCTTAATAAAATTGATAAAATAAAAAAAATATCATCTTAGAATTTCATCTAAATGCTTGACAAAAGAGAAAAAACAAATCAAAATGGCCTCCCTGTATTGTGAAAATAAAACAATGATATGTAATTCATAGGTATTTTTTAATTTTGGTACATACATACACATACATATTTGTTTATTTTTATGAATTTATTGAATATGTAATTAACGGAATTTGTAAACGAACTGTAAAAGTTAACATTTTTAAGATAATGCCTACAACAAAAGGATTTTACCTTGTAACATTCAGTTCAATGATCTTTAAATTCGGAATTTAAATTTTCTCAATGTAAGGTTTAAAATTTGTTTTGAAATATTGTGTCACAGTACATTTCAATGAATATTGCAGAATGTATTTTATATAAAGTTCTACGTCTATTTAGGCCATACACCATGTGTTCCAATTCAGTTTTTTCAATCAAAATATCTTTTTTTTTTTTGTAAGGACATTTTGACATAAATTCGAATGTTCAATGTTACGTCCATTGGAATGTTTCATTACATTACACTCTCTATTATATTTCAAACCGATTTAGCCACTTCTGATGACCTACTGTAATCTCACATTCTTCCGATAATTGTGAGATATATAGGCTATAATTTTGCTCGATTTTGGTAATTCGGGCAGGTCATGTCCAAAAGTCGGCTAAATCGGTCCATGTTAAGATATACTTCCCATATTTTGGTAAACCTTGCAGGTTTAGGTCTTTAGTATGTGTTAGCGACATTCCTTGCGAACAATTTTCGGTATTTGGAGTTAATTGTATCCTCTACCTTTTTCCAAAGCGATTTAGCCATGTCTGATAGTCGACTGTCTTGCTGTTCTTGATTTTTTAACGATTTCCCTGTACAATTGTTACGGTCCATTTTAATACCGTCCACCATAAAATGGAGGGTATAAAAACACCTTGAAGTATCCACCAACAACTGTAGTTTGGCATTTTTGATCCTCATTGAATAGCACATCTTCGTACCAAAAATGTATAATATTGACCTATATTTCAGGGCAGCCTCAATATAACGTTACTCCCCAATACTCGGTATTTTGGCTGTAATTTGGTATTTTGGGTTCTCATTGAATAACACAGATCAGTACCAAAAATTAATAATATTGAAACAAGTCTCAAGGTAGGTACCCCCATATAACGGTACCCCCAATACTCGGTATTTGGGCGATTTTCGAAATGTGTTTCAAACGATTCAGGGTATCCTGCAGTTTTTTGTATTTTGGGGATTTTCGACACGTTTTCCAACTAATTTAGCTATAATTTTGTATTTTAAATTCTCATTTCCTTATTTTTTTATTGACCCACGTTTAAGGGTAGACATCATAATATGGTAATCCCCAATGTGGGGATCTCAAATCTCACTACAAAAAACTCAATATTGATATTCGTTTCATTATAGCCCCATATAACGGTAGTAAATATTTTGAGAGTTTCAATCGTATTTTTCTCATTATAACATGAGTTTTATTCTAGGAGCCCCCATAAATTTTACATATAATGGTTTTCATCCTCATGGTAGAGTGTATGAATAGTTCCGTCGGGCCGAACTTTACATTGTTTTATTTGTTAAAATTAATATTAAAGTTTTAAACATGAAATGTTATGTTAATTTGAAATGAGTCAAATTGGCTCACTCTGTAAATCTAGTGTTAAACGCTTATTATCTGCCAAAATTGAAACCTGTAGTGGGGCTATATAATTAGTAACTTTTATCCTCGCTTATTAGATGCCAATTTGTATCTTCTAATATATTTTATCACCGGTGTCTTGCTTGACTGAAATCTATGCAAATGTTGCTGATGATACGGTAATAATTGCGATCTGCAATTTGGTCATACATGACCCTCAATATTAGAACAAATATATGGACACCAAAAATGGACTATTTTCAAAACAAAGTTATGTAGGTTATAAATATGTTTTCACTCTATTCTTATGTGAAAACGGCTGGTAGTTTTGACATAAGAAAAGTAGCATGATGGATATACATAACCAAATTAAATTTACAGTTCTTATTCCGTTATATTTTAGGGTTCGTTTACAATATCCATTAGCAATGCATATTCCATAATTTAAAAATACCTCCATCAAATAAACATGGCGTTAATTTACGTAATTGAATCAATAAATATGCTCACAATCAAACTACAATTTTTAACTGAATTGAAAACAAAATAATTTGTATAAATTGAATTCAGAGAGAAATAAAAACCCTGTTTTGAATTTGCAGAAGGTACATAAACAATGGTACCTACAATTTTTATAAAAATGTATTTTTCTATGCGGCATTTTTTTGTGTAGCAGTTCTGTTGAAGTTTCTAAACAAAAAAACAATAAAAACACAATGTTTGTATTTGCGATCAGTGTATTTTGAATGATTTATATTTTTTTATAAATTTATTTTGTCAAAGCTTTTTTGCTAATATTTGAAACCAAAAATACCAGTTTAAATTAATTTGCTGGATGATGACACATACTGTGTTTAGATGGGCCAAGGCATAACCTATAGATGATAGTCCTTGTTTATTTCAATTCTTGTATAATTTGCAATATTATTCAAATACTCGATCTAACCTTTAACTCAGATCTTAAAACAGCAATGGACTCTTTGATGTGAGAGAAGTTATTAGAGCACACAGCAGAGTTACTTTGCATTAAGTATGTCCCCCTCCCTGAACATGGGGTGATAACATCGACGTTTCTATTCTCAATGTCAGGATATGGTTGGTCTGGGTGTCGAATGATTTTTTAATATGATATCAAGGGATGTATGAAGGTAATGACAGTTAAGCTTATTTTTATTTATAAGAAAACACATGTCATTATTTACTCCGTGTGTTTTGGTATGTAATTTATGTGTGGAATGGGATCCTCGTTAGTAGTGGAAAAATGATTATATGGGCTTGGTAGTATTCCAGTCTGAGTTAAAGGAAAAATTTTGTTTCAATTTATTTAAATTGTAATTGCTTACCTTTCCTTTAATGAAATTCCAATAATTATAGACTTTTTGATAATGGCAAATAAACTACAACAAAAATATCCAATCAACATACCGTCCATTTTTTACAAAAAAGAGAGACATATAATTTTTATTTTTCCAAGTTTCCCCCTTTTAAATAGCGGCCATTAATGCACAAACATACAAACTGCACCTTAAAGTATTATCAAACTAATCAACAAAATATTTTTGCATATTTAAGCTAAAGAAAGTAATAATTATGATAAAATAACAAACGTGTAACAATTTATACAAATTATTTAATAAATAATTTGCAAAAACCAAAAAAAGAAAATATTTTGGAAATAAAATATGAAAACTACTTCAAAATATGGTACTCCACGCAATCATTGGAAAACAGTCAAACAAGTTGAGCGATTTCTTTTTATAAATAATGTAATTACAAAAACAAGCTAATACAATTGTATCCACTCCAAAAATAAAAGAAACCACTGTAAGCCACAACTAGTTGAGAATTACCTTTTTAGAGTAAAGCATTTGAATTTGAAATCCAAAATGAGAGAAAAAAAAATAAACTAAAATACAAAATAATAATAATTCTCCTATAACTTAAACTTAACAAAGAACTAATAACAATTAAATACAACAACAAAATGAAATCACAAAATTGTGAAATGTTGCAGTGAAAGCTTAGATATATATTAAAAAACAACAAACCATATAACTTAACAAACCCCCTAATTGCCGAATTAGAACAACAAAAGGTCATTAGTAATTTTAGAATTTTATTCATTTTCAAAAACAAACAAGCAAAAACAGAAAAGAAAACGAATCTTAGAAATCCAAAAACTAATTAGGTAACCCATATGATAAATTAATTATTTAGAACAGTATTTTATTTTATTAGTTTTTATTCTGAGAAATTATGAATTGTGTGAATATTTTTTTTAGCTATCTTCGGTATATCTTGAAAATATTCACATGAAATAGATAAAAGAAATTTGTAATTAATTATACATAAGTATATATTGTAAAGAAAACAAATATTGATTTCTATCTAAGGTATTATAGAGCAAATCAATTTTCTTTTCAATTTTTATTTTAATTTCAAATTTAAACCAATCCTGTGTCATTTATTTTTTATTTATTCAGTCAATGGAATTCATTAATTTCCTTACAATCTAAGTTCATATACCTAGTTGTTAAAATAAATGACTATTGTATATTCAAAGAAATATTTCATACACAATTGATTTAAATTTTTCTTTAGACATTCCAACATATTTTTGTAATTTATTATTTTAAGATTTTGAACTCAAAAATGTACGGCAATGTCTGGTGTACAATTCATCTTCTATGGTTAGTGCTTTACCACAAATATTGTTCGTTTGGTTTTGGCCCATCCTCGAAGACCCACACGGTCAACTGCTTTTATTTTTCTGGTTCATGGGTATAAATCCATAATTCTTAACCTGATACGATCATATAAACGCCTCTTGTAGTACCACCT